AAATTGACTAAAGAAAAATGGACCAGAAATAATCAGACAAGATTCCGCAATCTGCCCCTGGCGAAAATTGTGTAACATTATGCTAGCATACTAGCATATATATATATATACAGTTAATCATACACACACGCAAACTCACACACACACACACATATATATATATATATTATTGTGAATAAATATTCATATATACATACATATATATGAACAAATTTTACATTACTGAAAATCAATATACATATATATATATATATATATATATATATATATATATATTGATTTGGCATATATATATATATAAATATATATATATATATATATATATATATATATATATATTTGGCATATATATATATATAAATATATATATATATATATATATATATATATATATATATATATATATATATATATATATATATATATATATTTATATATATATATATATATATATATATATATATATATATATATATATATATATATATATATATATATATATATATATATATATAAACGTCAACAGCATATACTCACTTTCGTTTATTAGATTTTGAATTAGATCACATAGCATCCTCGAGAATATACTTGATTTTCAGTTAGGATGATGTATATTTATGAGCGTTCCAAAATACTTGTTGCAAAATAACATCCATATAGGAAATACAGTTGATATATAATGAGAGTGAAACCAATTAATATAATAGAAAGTGAAATATTACGTGTGATTCACAGAGAGAATTCAAAGTTTTATTCAAACAGACCATATAATTTGTAAACAACAGGAATAAGGATTACTCCATGACATAGATGATCATCATTTCAACGTATAAATTAAAACTAATTTAAAAGGATTTTCAAATTCATCAGTTTAAGAAGAAAAATCAAAATTAAACTGGCTTAAGACTACTTTCAAAAGTCATCAATATTATGGAGTAATCCTAATTCCTATTATTTATATTATATATACATATCCTAATTCCTATTGTTTACATTATACATACATATATCCTAATTATTTACATTTATATATATATATATTTATATATATATATATATATATCCTAATTATTTACATTATATATATATCCTAATTATTTACATTATATATATATATATATATATATATATATATATATATATATATTACATTTATATATATATATATATCCTAATTATTTACATTATATATGTATATATATCCTAATTATTTACATTATATATATATATATATATATATATATATATATATCCTAATTATTTACATATATATATATATATATATATATATATATATATATATCCTAATTATTTACATTATATATATATATATATCCTAATTATATACATTATATATATATATATATATCCCAATTATTTACATTATATATATATATCCTAATTATTTACATTATATATATATATATATATATATATATATATATATATCCTAATTATTTACATTATATATATATATATATCTAATTATATACATTATATATATATAATTATATATCCTAATTATTTACATTATATATATGTATACTAATTCCTATTGTTTACATTATATATATATATATATATATATATATATATATATAACGCCTATAATATATAAATAATTATATATATATATATTTATTATATTATTTATTTATTATTATTTATTATATATATGTATTTATTATTATTATATATATATATATATATATATATATATATATATATATGAAATTTTATATTTAACCCGCAATTCTCTTTTATACAAGTGTAATAGCACTAAGTTTAAGCTTTTCCTTATATTGTTTCTTGAATTCTTACAAGTGATTGCTTTTGTCGATGCAGAGTTTCACAATTCTTACACACTCTTTGTCTAAATGAGAAATTCCTTGCGCGAATGCAAGAAAAATCACTTGTGTATTTTTATTTTGTTCAATGAAATTCACCCAAAGCAAGGCACTAAAGCCACTAATACACAAGGGATTAACTGGGTGTGTAAGAATTAGAAAACAGAAAGGGGCTAGAACAAAGTGGGAAGATAACAGGTAGCGATTTACCTTGCATTTCATCTTTTAAAGACTAGCGCTGACGGGGAAACATAATACACACACACACACACACACACATATATATATATATATATATATATATATAATGTAGAGGAAGAAAGTATTGAACAAAATTCTTATAATTGATGATTTGTTTCTACATTAGGAAGAGAATACGGCTGAAAAAGTTTCACCGTCTTTAGACATCTATCTCTGTCTGTACAGACAAGCAAATCACACACACTTGCATAGAGTTCTTGTAATTAATCTAGTGTCTCGTAACGCTTACCAAAATCTATCACTACCGTAGGAGCACCACATATACAGCAGTCATAGGGAAGAGATAACCTGATGGAGACAATGGCTCTTTTCAAGCTGATGTTGAATTTAGAGTTGTCCAACGAGAAGGGCGGTCATATCAGGGCGTGTGAGCCAATTACCCCTTAGCTGGATTTCATCCCATTCCTAATGCTTTATGCGGTAAAATGAAAGTAAAATTCTCGGTCGTAATTCGAAACCAGTTCACCAGTTCTTACACACCGAGTTACATAGATATCTACTTTGTTCATAAATGTTCTTATAGTCTAGAAACAAACTGAAACTTTTTTCAAGTAATTTTGCAAACTGATAGGCGTCTTATGATTATTTCTGGCTGCGGGTAATTGAGAAGACATCTAAATTAGATTCAGCGGGTATTAATACGGATGTAAACTATCTTTACTTCCTTCTTGCCACTCTACTCCGACATACTGATTGACTTTTCGGGTGTAATATTTGAGTGGTCCTGGCTTTTTGTTTTTGCTTCGACTCTTTTTCATCACATATCATACACTTGGTTAGATGTCTTAGTAACTTGGCATCGATATTTGGAATGGATTTGCGGATGATCATTCCGGGGGCAGTGATGCGTGGAAAAGCGCGAAAAGTAAGGAAAAGGAAAGGACGTACGGATTATGAAGAGAATTCTATCAAGGATGAAAGAAACGATGGAAATATAAGGAAATGAAAGAAAATGTCGGAGATTATAAATGGCGTAGAAACTGAAGTCATTTAAAATGGAGAATGAAAAATGAAAGAGAAAGGAAAATAGTAAATATCGGAAAAGAAGGGAAAATAAAAATAAAATAAATTAAAGTTAAATTTTTTAATGGTTTATATTCTTTTGAAAAATAAAATAAAATTGTGGAAAAGAAAATTATAAGAAGAAGTAAATATGATGAATGATCAAAAACGAATTCCTTAGAAAGGAAATAAAGTAAAGAAAAACTACAGTTTCACTAGGCAACGAAAATCGTAAGGAAACTGACGAAATAGTTGGAGTAAATATTTTTAAAATGAAACAAAATAGAAATAAATAATTAAACTTAATGAGCGAAAATATGATTCTAAATAAAAAAAATTAAATGAAAAGAAAGACTAAGAACGAATGAGTTTAGTAAATAAAGAAAGAAAAAAAGAAAGAAATCGTGTTCAATCGAAAAATTAAAAGAAAAGAAAGATGGGATTGGCTGTTTTTTTTTTTTACGGCTTATAACAACTTGTTGGTTATTTAGCACCGAAACATATTTAAATTGGAAGAATAATATTACATTTTGGTTTTAAGTGAATATTATATTAATTTTTTTTTTTTGAGAATAACAATGATTTTTCCTGATACATGTTCTACTATTTAACCCGTAACTTGTGGGAGGTGATACTTTCATACATTTCGTAAGAGTACCTGCACGTAAGTGCCTGTGACGAACTGAAATTATATTCGAATTCAGCTCTCAGATTTCCGATTCTCAGCGGCTATTCATCACACCAGCCGCACAGGGGAAGGGGCTAGGGAGAAGGAAAAGAAAAAAATATATATATATATATATATATATATTATTTTCCTTCTATATATTATATATATATATATATATATATATATATATATATATATATATATATATATATATATATATATATATATATATATAACAGAGAAATCCCAAATTGCATAATGTGTATAGCTTATTTCGACCGACACCGAGTATGTCAGTCTTATTCAGTCCATCCGTCTGGGTTGAATAAGTTTGGCATACTCGGCGTCGGTTGAAATAAACTATACACATGAGGCAATTTTGATTTCTTTGTATATATATATATATATATATATATATATATATATATATATATATATATATATATATATATATATATAGTGACTTTCAAGCCTGGCTTAGATGTGGCACAAGGCCGAAAGTATGGGGCACCCAGTGAAGATCGAACTCACTACTCAGTTGTAATCGATCTAGCAAGACAACCTTCCTTTCTAGCCATTACACCACGTCGTATATATATATATATATATATATATATATATATATATATATATATATATATATATATCTGAGTAGTGAGTTCGATCTTCACTGGGTGCCCTATACTTTCGGCCTTGTGCCACATCTAAGCCAGTCTTGAAAAATCACTATATATATATATATATATATATATATATATAGTCTGCAGGGAAAGAAGGATGTAAATTTTGTTATCGTTTAGAAGGGGTGATAGAAGGAAATGGTGTGTATACATGAATTGACAGTGAGACCAAAAGAAAAAAAAAACTCTTTTTCCACCTCTCTTTCCACGTATCTCTCTTTCTACCTCTCTCTCTATCCGCTGCTCTCTTCCCCCTTCCTGTGATTCCATGCGTGCTCATTTAAATTTCAGCTTTCTTTAAACAAACACTATTTTAAATATTTAAAAAAAATGTTTTTTTGCCATATTTAAAAATATTTTCAATTGAATATGATTTAAAAAATACTATTTGTTTATACAGTATTTTTATTTCAACTTTCTTGAAACAGACAATTTTTTTAATGTTGAAAGCAACTTCAATGTTTTATAATCTGAACCTTCTGTGACTCAACAGGTCACGGGTAGTATAGTATTAAAAGTCTGTGAATCGGGTGTCGTCAGGCGCATAATGATTTAAGTCTCTTTCCACCTCTCTTTTCTACCTCTGTCTTTTCATTTCTCTCTTTCTCCTTCTCTTGCTTTCCACCTTTCTATCTTCTCACCTCTCGCTTTCCACCATTTTCCCCACCTTTCTCTTTCCACACTTGTCTTTCCACCTTTCTCTTTCCACCTTTCTGTCTTTCTACCTCTCTCTTTCCACCTCTACCCTTCCACCGTGCACACGAATTCATATATAGAGAGTGGGGAAAAGAAAGATGTAAATTTATTATATAGGAAGAGGCGGAGAGAAGGAAATGGTATGTATACAAGAAAAAAAGCTCTTTTATTCCACCATTCTCTCTTTCCACCTCTCTTTCTTTCCGCCTATATCTCTCTTTCCACCTCTCTTTCTTTCCGCCTATATCTCTCTTTCCACCTCTCTTTCTTTCCACCTCACTCTCTTTCTATCTATCTATCTCTTTCCACTGCTCTCTCTTTCCACCTTCAACAGATCACGGGTAGTATAATATTAAAAGTCTGTGAATCAGGCTTTTCGGGAATCGAAATCGGGAATGTGATTTTCTTTACACCACTCTCTTTTCCCCTCTCTCTTTCCACCTTCTCTTTCCTGCTCTCTGTCTTTCCACCTCTCTATCTCCTCACCTCTCTCTTCCCGCACCACTCTCTTTTTATCTATCATTCCACCTCTCACTTTCCACCCTTATCTTTCCACCTATCTGTCTTTCCACCTCTCTCTCTCTTTTCACCTGTCTCTTTCCCCCTCTCTCTTTCTATTACTCTGTTTTTCAACATCTCTCTTTCCACACCTCACTTTCCACTTCTCTGTCTTTCCACCTCTCTCATTTCACCTCTCTGTTTTTCCAACTCTCCCTATTTTCACCTGTCCCTCTTTCCACCTCTCTGTTCTT